TTGTAGATCATCATCATCATGAAAACATTGAACTGATGGTAATCAATCAACCACCTAAAGCAATTCTTGAATAAATCGATATGCTTGTGTTGATTTAAATGATTATTAGACATTTTGCCTACGTTTTTTTGCATAGTTCTTTTTGATTTTAAAAGGTTAATAAAATTAGCTGTTATCTAACATATTCTGAAATGACATATGTAGCAGAACCTGATGCAAACAATTTTCTCAAAGTGATACCAATTTAGGGCAAGAAAATAAATTAATTCATGATGTGAATGAAGATTTTGTTGAGTAAATAACTAAAATAAGACTCGATATACTACTAATAAAAAAAAGTATTTTTCTTGTTCAGAAAAAAATGTTCTTGCAGGAACTTTTAATATGATTCGGTTTCTAAATAGACTTATATTAATAGCTGATTAGTTACAAAGAATTTTGTAATAATTGTTTCGGTTGTTAATGCTGTATTGATTTATTGATTTACCATATTCAATGAAGCTGTATTTTCGATAGTTGAAAACATAGAAAGCATAAAAATTTTGATCTTATGGAGAACATGCATAACGCCTTCATTTCAAGCAGATATTCGTGAATGTAGTGCTCTCTTGATTCGAAACTTTTTTTCATCGGTTGTTACTTGTTATTTGTTGCTTGACGTTGTGTTATATTGAATACACTTACTATAGGACCTTATATTATATTATGAATTATATATCACAAACAACTTTTGAGCCTTAAACAACTAAAAATCTTATGAGTTCAATACATAATCAATTGAATTATGAATACATTTTACTAATCTTGTGACATTACGTAATAATAATTATGATCTATAAGAATATATCATAGCGATGGAGGCAATATAAATCGTTGAAGGTTATTTTATTACTTTTAAGCAATTTTAATATTAGACAATAAAATGTGTTGTGCTCTAATATGTCATTGTAGAACATGGAACATCATAGTCAAATATTCTACTGTTTTTTGTTAGATATACTCTGATTAAATGAATTTCAAAAAGGTTCACTACAGTACTACTCAAATGCATTAAATAAAAACGACGAAATAAAAGATAAGCTACATTGGCGCAATGCATAAAGATAGTATTTTTAAGATTGTTACTTTTTAGCTGTATCGATTCTATTTGATTTTGAGTTTGTATGACTTTGGTGAAGAATCTGAAGAGAAAAATAGAATAAGTATTTTTCAGACAAAGATATTTACTAAATCATCAGAATCATTGAATCTAGGTTTAGCTTTTCTTAAAAGATTTTCTGCCAGCTGATACCTATAATATTGAACATTGGAGTTATTAATAATAACAAATTTTTTCTCTTGAATATAAGCAAGTGTCTGAACCAAAAGATGTACACCACAGGATGAGATATCTGTTTGTTGAAATCTTTTATCATTATTTGGACAATATAATTTCCATTCATTATCAAAATCAATATTGGTTCCTGTTTTCAGCGTGTGCTGTATATTTAAAAAGTTTCCGAAACGAGTCATATTCTCCAATCGAGGAATATCATGTGATGGCATAGAATCGAGTTCAATAATCAGCTTTTTATTTTGATCAAATATCAGTATATACCAATGGCTGTTTTGGTTGATGGGGCACAGTATAATGTCATATGAAAGCCATGTACAATTTAACTTGTTTATTCTTCTACGAAGTATGTTTGAAACGGTATAACTAGATACCGCTAATACACGGTTTTCTAGTGTAGCAGTAGATGTGATAACATATAAAGACGAATTAATTATTATATCATTCAGTAATCCTTCTATGTTGCAGAGACAAGTGATATCAGTAGCATTTAACTCGAAATGGCCCACGTCAAACTGTCGACTGAAAGATGGAAGTAAACCTTTTACAACGTCAATCACTATGTTATCCGGTTCAGGTAATGAATCCAACTTGCTTTGATCAATAAACACTTTTTGAAGACCGGTTAAAGTAAAAGCATTAGCATCCGTTTCGTATGCAAAAACCATCCATTTCGAGGCCAAAACAGTGTCTTGAATCGGCATGTCCCGCAACGATTCAAATCGCCTGGTATCTTTGTTGAATAAACTATAACCATCGTGGCTTTTTCTCAGAAATAGAATTTGATCACCTTCTAGTACAACTAAGACAGTTTGGATACTATATTCGATCATCGAACTGCTAGATATCGGTTGGATAGCAAGAAGATCAACATCTTCAATTAATTCAATACATTTCGTAGTACATGGCGCACTCAAAAGCATAAACTGAGGTATATCATATAGAATAGCATTTGATAATCCAAATGAATGACATGATGAGCACTCAATACTTCTTTGTAGAAAATGATTGAGAACGTCATTGATATGAGTTGTTTTTGAATGCATTCGATAAACGTCATGTAATGTTTCTGCAGCGAAGTTGTCTAAAAAGAGAAGAATAAACTGATAAGAAATTCGGTTTCTATTTTTAAAAATTAAAAAATAAAATAAAACCCAGACCTGTGGTATTTCCTAGTCAAATAAATTAAGTGGTAATCAATCATCTATTTTTTTCTAAAATAACTAGGACTGATGATCAATCCTGAAGAAAAAGAAAGTAGCGTGCGAAATTGGTACTCAGAAAAAAAACAAGCCCATGAAACTATGAGTTCTGAGGATTCTGATGAAAGCATACTTAGCATAATTTCATCCTGAAATATCTATTATTTTTCGACTAAACTACTAATAAAAACACCATCAATAAATTACCTTTGCCACAAACAGAACATTTGAAAGATTTGGCGACCGCAAAATCGAGAACATTAGCTTTACTTGGATCATGCTTTGTAAAATATTCGATTGCGTCGTTGAGACATAAGGTGGGAGTCAATGAAGGCTGCTCTTTTGAGAAATTAGTAAAAACATTCCATAGAGCACTTGAGAATACGTCCGTTGACGATGATCGAATAAAGTTTGCTAATACAATTGACTGGATTGAAGTTTTTTCTCCGAATACAGTTTCATAACTAATAAGAGTCGTTTTCATATCTTCTAGTTTATACCAATCATTTCTGTAGCGTGCGTAAGTGATATAATGTTCTGAGTCATCTTTTTTCAGGCGAATAATGAACCATTGTAATGTGTATCGAGTATATGAGTAAGTACATATTAAATCGTTGGGCATGATTGAAGTGAGATTTATATGTTCGGTCAATTTGAATGTTTTCATACCATCTGTTACGTCTGTCGGAACGTGAATAAAAAGAAACTTAGGACAATTCATAAGTGATAAACTGCTCATATTATTTTTGTTGTTCAAGCATTTCGAACAATTTTTTTCTGTTGAAACAGGATCGAATAGATCAGCCAAAACGGCTGGAAGAGTATTTTCCGTCGTTGTTGGTTGAACAAGTAAGTAATCACAAGATTGTTGATTGAGTATACTAATTTGAGAACATGAAGAACATTGTATCATAGTTGCTAAAGAAATCTTCAGATCGATTTCGTAGTGAAGAAGAGTAGGAGCAACAATACATTTAAAAAAGTCTAAAACAGAAGGTGGCTTGCTCTGTTTTATTTCAAATCCGCTCCATGTTAAGCAATTGATTGTATTTTTTATCATGTCATCGTTGACGATTCGCCTAGCTTCGGTCATATGTTCATCTCGCTTAACTAAATAGTAGAGTGCTGTACTACATTGGTAGATATGATCAGGTGTTAAATCATTATCCATTAAGCCAACTCGTCGAACTGTTTGGACTAAATGACCTGAAGCTAATAGCATTAGCATAGTGCTATTATACCAAGAATTATTGCGTTTGTTCTCGAAGCGCAACGTTTGTGAAAGTTGTCCTACACCTAAAACATACACATATCAAAATCATGTTTATGTATTCACCCAATCATTAGAATAACATGTACATAATCGTACATTATTATTAGTAAAAAAAGGATGTAGTTATATTGTAGTGAAACTTATTTCATGACATCATGTGTTTTTAACAACCGATGGTCTACTATATAATCTGTGAAGTTTTAAACGTACTATTAAATATGAAACAATTATTTGTTCAAAAGAGATTCTGTAACTTTGTTTTGTTTCAATAAGAAAAGCTGACTAAAAACGAGGAGATAGCCAAAAGGTGAGTTTCGTTATCATATTAATAGTTTTATTGTTCGTCAATTACAATGCATATTAATGTCAGTAGTTACTTGTGATTTTCCATAATTGACTATCTAGATTATTCTTCGTTTTATATAACGTTTTAATCCTCTATTTATTAATAATAATCGAGAAAATCTTAATACCAAGAATGTGAGTGACGCTAAAAAATTCTTTATTTCAAGATATTATGACTAATTTAGTTTTTTCTTATAAATGTATAACTTACTTCAATTCTTATTCAATATGTAAATCCGTTTTAACACACTTACTTAATAATAGATCATCGTTTTGTCCTTGTAGTTGAGTATTCACCATTGCAACGATATTTGTCTTTGGCTGTTCGGACGTGTACAGACCAAATCTTCTTGCCGTTTTTCTGCGCTTGTTCCATGGCTCTTGTGCAGGTTTGCTCTTCTTTGCAGGTAATGTAACGAAATATATATATCTATATATATATATATATAATTTCGTTATGACAAATGGAGAGGCACATTAATGTCTTTAATCTCATTGTGAGCATGATGTTTATTCGACTGTGCACTACATCCAAAATGTAACACTCTCATAAACAACATGAGCTTGTATAGGAGAGAGCTGGGAGAGAAGAGAGAGAATAGATAATACAATATAAGGGGAGGAAAGGAAAGAAGAAAGATATAACAGAAGATTATGCAATGTAAGAATGAACAAGTGATGAGGCCAAGGAGAGAACAATGTAAGAATGAACAAGTGATGAGGCCAGGGAGAGAACAATGTAAGAATGAACAATCGAGTAAGAACGCATAGATGAGAGCAATACATATGATATACGAGTGAATGTGGAATGAGAAGCGCATTACGACAGAAAGAGAATACGGTTCAATCAAGCATACATAAACGTAAGAGTAATGCGATTATGAACACTACGTAACATTGATTGTACACGAACACACTGAGAAAGTAAAGATATCATATAAGATGATATGCCCATTGGCACAGGTAACAAGCGAGTTTTCGTTTGATTGAGTACATAATGGTCAGCATATTGTATTTCCATTGCTTCGATGGATTCGCCAAGTTTAGCTACAACTTGATCAATGCGACTATATACTTTGTTACATAAAATGTTTTCTTTCAAGACACGCATTTGTGACTCTGATACACCAGTTGTTCGTCCGAAATGACATGAACAAGATGTTGTAGTTGTATCAAATCCATAGCCATACCGACTACTAAAATTGCCCAACAAAAGATTACTCCAAATTGGTGCAGTTGGCATGTACAACTTAAGAATCCGTGTAAGAAAAGTTGACGAAAAAAGTGGATTGTTTTTCAAACAGCTCCATTTAGGTTCATCATATACTTGTAACAATTCGAGACATTTTTTGTAAATAGTGGTAAATAATTCTTTAAATGAAGATTCCATGTTTAACACAGCTTCTTCCTCGCCGAATATTATTTCCGTATCTGTGTTTTCGTCATTCTAGATAAAAGTTATATGGTATTCACTAAAGAATTATTGTTGTCGATGATTAGTTTTTCGAAAAAATTCACCATTTAATCTATTAGATGAGGTTTTGTGTTAGTCAACAATTCGTATAATTAGTTCACAATTCTTTGGTATAGAAACTATAATGTTTCTCATTTCATCAAGAAAAAATTTTTTTTTTATTAAAGCTTTGTTTCTGTTCTACGGGTCAACTGAAATATTCTCTTTATCATATTTAATCATGATATTATCTGACTTTGTCAATGCTTAACAAGAATTTTATTTCAAAAGTTCCCCGATAACTTGACACAGTCCTCAAAAACAATTCACAACTGAAAGGACTCAATTTATGAAATTCATATCATTGATATTATTCAGGATGCGGTAAAGTAAAAAAAAATACTACTATGAAATGTAAGTAAGTAGTTCCAGTTTCAGACACATAATCATATATATGATAGAATTA